ACTTCAGCAAAAGAATCTAAGTATTCAAAGATCATGTTTTTCCTGTTAAGACAGTAAGAATATACTGACCACCACAAATAAGTCAGTGCTCTTATTTGGAAGCTATGAAAATAAATAACAAACTGAAGTTGGTGGCACAAGCCTGTAATCCTGGCACCGAAGAGGCTAAGTAAGGCAGGAGGATTGCATAAGACTGGGCTATATAGAGTGAGTTTGAGACCAGTCTCAAAACAGGGCCTGAAAGATGGCTGAGCTTAAGGACCTGGTTCAGACCTCAGGCATTCACTCACAAAGGTCAGAAAGTGCCTGTAATCACAGCACTTGGGAGGTAGAGATAGATCCCTGGGGAAAGCTGGCTAGCTAAACTAGCTGAATCAGTGAACTCTGGGTTTAGTCCAGAAACCCTGACTCAGTATATATAAGGTGAACAGACATTAAGCAAGACACCCGATGTCAACTTCTGGCCACCGCACGCACACACATTCACACAAGTGCACCTCCATACCTCAACAAGCACACAAATCCCTACACTACACACACACACACACACACACACAGGCAGTAACAAAAATAAAGAGAAATAAGGAAAGGACAGATCAAGTAGCACATAGCACCATCAACCCTCCATGAAAAGTATCAACAGAACCCACCTTCTAGCACAATTTCTCTCTCTTCCATTTTTATAGCTTTTGAGATAGGGTCTTACTCTAGCCCATGCTGTCCTGATGACTCAGTTTCCTGAACCTTTTGAAACAAGGCAACCTTGCAGTGTGGACACTAACAGTCAGTAACATAAGTTCTAGAGCAGCCTCGGAACAGTATCTTAACCTATCCACAATCTTCATCAAATAAACCAAAGCCAATTAAGTCAATTCTATAAGAAGTACTTCCTATATTTATTCTTTAGCCATTTAACAAACCATAACAAAAAAATGTAACAGTTCATTTCCTGAACAAGAATTCCAAGTAGTTATTGAAAATGAACTCACATTTCAACTACAAACACTAACAAACATCCTCTATTACAAAAAAGTTAAAATTTGAAAAATGATTAAAAATAACAAATTCCTAATTACTCCATTGTAAAATACACCTACAATCATTAATACTACTTGCTAAAAAGTCAAACTGACCACTCACAATTTTGAAACCCCGAGATCCAATAGCCAGTAACTTTTTCATTGACAAATGGCACTATTTCAAAGATTGCTTTAAACTGTAACACAGAAGGAACCAGCAGGAATGCATTTTGTCTATGGCTTGTATGTATCAGCTAGTTATTTCTCAGTCCCTGAAGACCTTAGTGAGTGCCAGCATTTAACTTTCAGAATTACATAGCCTGCATAAATACAAACCCTGAAAGCTCCCCAAATGTATATTTTACCTCATGTCAACAAACTCAAACTATAACCCAACAACTACTCTATTCATTTAGCCTATTTATCAATGATGCAGCCATTTACAGGGCAAAATTTTTAAAAATCACAAAAAGATATGTAAGTGGTATAGAGTGAGGGACTCAGTAATATACTGAATGGTTTGCTATGGGAGTCTAAATTGTATTCAATGAAAACCACAGGTAAGATTCTTGAGAACTGAACTAGTAGTGATGGCCACACAACACTTAGCTAACATGACATGGTCAAGTTTCATGGCAAAATTCATGTACACAACTGCTCCTAAAGGTCACCAATATTTATTTTAAAAATAGCTAAAAATAAACCTTCCCTTCACCTGAACCTACTAAGTCCTCTCTGCTGGTGCTTTCATGACCGCATGACCCCTAGGTCAGATTTACATGAGAATATACGTAATTGAAACCCAACAGCTGTCAGTTTTGTGAGCCCTTGAAACAAGGATTCATTGATTTTCACTTCCTATCACAGTGTAAGAATGAAATGTTGTAAGAACAAAAAGCATTGTGTGTCGTGAAGGTGAAGACCATCTGTGTACCACGATCACGGTTTTAAGGAAACTATAAAGAAGTCCACTGGCCAGAAAAAAGAATGCAGTGAAAAGAACACCAGAGAAAAAACGTTAATAACCTAGAAATAACCTTGCCACTTCTATTAGTTTTTCTCAGACAGCTCTCTGCATTTCACTAGTTTCTTAGCAACCACACTGGGCTCAAGCACGTACAGAAGGGGGGGGGGGGGGGAACGACACCACAAAAAACAAACAAACACCAAAAAAAACAAACAACAAAAAAACCCTTCTACCTTCATCCCCTCTTTAATATTTAGAACCAAGAGTACCGCACTTTGTTCTCTCGCTCTAGGAATCACTCAAGACAGGGGTCCGGGTTAGATGCCATCCTAAAGGTCAGTGACCAAATTTGGTCAACAGTGGTGCCATCACGGCTGTCATCTTTCTTGTCACTGTTCGGGCACAACTGTCACCTTGCCACTACCAGGAAGGCAAAGCCGCTGGAATATTCCCTTTGTACATTCTATTTACAAAGGGCCCAACATCATCTCAGCATGATCTCACAACGCGGTAACAAATGGAAGAACCCAACAGAAAAGAAGGCCTTGCCACGAGAAACTTTCTGAGGCTAAAAATGTCAGCGACCCTGCGGTCAGGAGTCATCTATTTTTTTTCTACAAAATAGCTTCTACCATTTTTTTTTTTTAATCTCTGACACCTAGGTTATTATTATTTTTCTTAAACATGGAAATTCAATGGCTATTATTTGTTTTCTGGTATATTAGTGAAACACTTTCAGCTTTTATGGGCAGATAAAATATATTTCTCTGAATACTTACGAAAGATATACACGCTGCCAGCAATAAAATCCTAACTAGTAAGTCTTCGAACTGCTCAATCACAAGTTCCAGCAAGGTTTTTCCTGTTAAAGAAAAAAACAAAAAACAAAAAAAAAAACCGTATTTGTTCTGATGGTCTACATCAATCAATCCGTGTCCGCACACGCGCGCGTGCACACACACACACACACACACACACACACGCACACACGCACACGCACACGCACACGCACACACACACCGTCTCTCCAAAGTAACATGAAGATTTACCTTCTTCAGCTGGTAATTCTAGAATGCCGAAATTCGCCAGCCAACGTGTCGGGAGGAAAGAAAAATACAGACATGTTATTAGCGCCTTTATTAAAAAAAAAAATTGCTAAATTCACCACCATCGTGCTCTGAAAGACAGATGTGGGTATATGAACATCCAGCCTTTCTCTCTCTCTCTCTCTCTCTCTCTCTCTCCACTCTGATACCCCGAGAAAACCATGCAGCCCCAGTCATCAATGGCCACGGTCCTGCCCGTCCGCTCCCCGGGGCCTCCGGGACCATGCTGGGTCATCCCTTCTGCCAGATGTCTAACTTTGGGGAGCACAAGAAACGGTCCGAGGGGTTCTCAACTACACCGACGCCTCGGAAACCCGCGGGGGGACATCAGCCCAGCCGCAGGAGCCTCTCCCCCCACCACCAACCCCTGGGCTCGCTGCGCTCCGGGAAGGTCACCGGCTCGAGACCCCTGGAGGTCGTGGGGGTGGCAGGGGGGAGGCCCCGACCCGCGTGCGGACCGCCCCGGCCTCTGGCAGCCGTCGGGCGCCGAGCCGAGCCGAGCCCCACGAGGTGGAGCCCGGGTCAGCCATCTTCCCCGGCGCTCGGGCCCGCGCCGCGCCGCGCCGCTGCAGCCCCGGCGCCCCGCACCTACCGTTGGAGCCCCATCTCTCCTTGAGCTTCTTGACCTGCTCCAGGCTCAGCCCCGTGCTCTCGTTGACGCCGAAGTGGCCCAGCACCTCCTCCACCGTCTTTGTGTGAGCGTTCTCCATGGCTGCGGGGGCCCCGGCCGGCCTCGCCTCGCGTCCCCGCGGCCTCCTCGCCTCCGCCTCGCACTCGGGCCGCGGGCTCGTGCCACCGCGGGCGCCCGGGCGCGGACAGCTGTCCCCTCCTCTTTCTCCTCCTCCTCCTGCTGCTCGGCCGCTTCCGCCTGACCGGCCGCTGAATCACCCGGAGCCCCCTCCCCTAGAAACCGCCGCCCGCGGCCCGGCCGCGCCGAGCCCACCCGAGGGGGGCTTGCGAGCCTCCCGCCGCGCTGCGAGGGTGCGTCGCCTCAGCTGCCAGCCGGCCGCGGGCAAGCCCAGGCCGCCGCGGCGCCGCTGCGTGGAGGGGAGACCCGCCGGGGCTGAGGAGGGGCGCCCGGGCGAGCCCCTCGGCGCGCGGAGGAGAGCGAGGCGGAGCGGCGGCCGCAGAGGAGCAGCAGCAGCACCAGCAGCGGCAGCTCTGCGCGGCGCGCCTGGCACGAGCCCCTCCTCAGCGCTGCACCCCCCCCGACAGCGACGGAGGAAACACTGCGGCGGCGGAGGAGACGGGAGGTGGCGTCGGGGACGGCTCCGCGGCGGCGGCTGCTCTAATAGCATTTATCCGCCGCTGCCTCCCCTCTCGCCGCCGCCGCGGCATGTGGACGCCGCTCATTGGCCGAGAGCGCCCAGCGCGGCGCGGGCGGCGCGGCCCCGCCCCCTTCTCCCCCCCCCCCCGGCGCCCTCCCGCGCGGCCCCGCGCGCGCGCTCCAGGCGCGCCCCCACGCCGCCGGCAGGCCCCGCCCCCTCCCGCGCGCCGCCCCCAGGAACCCGGATCCAGGCCGCGCGCGAGGGCGTGCGCGCGCGCAGGCCGCCTCCCGGTCCGCGCTTGGCCCGCTGCGGCCGGGGCCGGGCCGGAGGGGCGAGCCCGACTTTTTTTTTTTTTCTCGGCCGGGGCTTTCGCGGGTCGTCCGCGCGCGCGGGGCTCACACGGGTGGGCGCTCTGCGCTCGGTGCCCCCGCCGCTGGGGGGGGGGGGGGACTGCTTGGGTGGCAGGGAGGTGCCGGGACGCGGGCGACCGAGGCGCGCTCGGACGGGTGTCCTTGGCTCGCCTCTGCGCCCTGGACAGCCCGAGCCCGTGCTCTGAATCCTAATGCCTCCTCCTTGAGAGCCCCCACCCCCACCCACCCCCAGCAACCAAGGGGAGGAATTCCGCAGTTCCCTTCCCACACAGCCAAAAATCGCTCAGCTGTCGCCTCGGGAACACCGCATCCCACACCCCCGGCCGAGAGCCCCATCTCCATCGCACGCCAACACCAGCCCTTCCTTCCCCTGCGGGTTCTGTACCCCGACAGGGAATCCCACTCTTGCGGGAGGAAGGAGGAAGTTTTACTTCGTTTTTAGGAGCCCACACAGCCTTTGACACACGTCTGCATAGAAGTCACAGGTTATGCTGGAGCAGCTCTGCGTCTGCAAGGTGCTTGACTTTGGCTTTAAAATGAAGGCTGCCATACAGACGTCCACTTCCCCCAATGGGAGAGAAGGAGCTTTCAGTCTCAAACCTATTCTTAAACCACAAATCATCTGCTGTGTCGGAGAGGTCTGATCAGCGCCTAGCACGAAATGTAATTTTGCCAGTATAAAGAGGTCATACTGAGTCAGGTGTGATGTGATGTCCGCCTGTGATCGCTGCACGCAGACGTGGAAGCAATCGAGAGTTCAAGGTCGTCCTCGGACACTTAATGAGTTTAGAACCAGTCTACGATGTTGGACCTTGTCTAAAAAAATAATAAAAAAAAATAAATTTAAAAAGCAGAGGAAGGTGGGAAGCCATACTAAACAGGGGGGCGGGGGACCACTGCATTGAATTCACGAATATTCTCACAAAGAGCAGCTTCCTGAAGGGAATCGGTTGCAAAATAAAGCATTTTGTCCACTCGAGTGTTTAGCAACGACCCCCCCCCCCCAAATAAAAATCACTTGAGTCTTCCCATAGGGCTGGGCCTTAAGACTTAAGAGATTCCTTCAACAGATGCAAATCGCGGTGCATTACCCGACTGAAAAAGAAATCAAGTACGTCATTTCATTTAATTATTTCCAAGGAGTGGAGGCTGGCATGCAGTTCTGATTGATACTTGGGAAAGGGCCAACAGAACCCTACACGAAACAAACACACACAAATTCTAGTGTATAGCAATGCACTCCCTAGAAGCAAGGTGGAAACTGGTTAGGTCACAGCCTCTTCAGAAGGATCAGGTGACTGCCTGCAAGGTGGGGGTGTGGTGATGGAGCGCTGGTGGGTCTTCGGCCTCCTTGTGTTCCAGTTCTGCCTGGCTTCATGTTTTTCACACCAACAGCAAGAGGCACCGAGGGCAGGAAGATCGCGCCCTGTCTCAGTTTGGAAATTGTCTGAGACGTTCACTGGGTCTAGGTTGTCTTTCTTTTTTTTTTTTTTTTTTTTTTTTTGGTTTTTCGAGACAGGGTTTCTCTGTGTAGCATTGTGCCTTTCCTGGAACTCACTTTGTAGACCAGGCTGGCCTCGAACTCACAGAGATCCTCCTGCCTCTGCCTCCCGAGTGCTGGGATTAAAGGTGTGCGCCACCACCGCCCGGCTTCTTTCTTTCTTTCTTTTTTTCTTTTCTTTTCTTTTTTTTTTGGTTTTTCGAGACAGGGTTTCTCTGTGTAGCTTTGCGCCTTTCCTGGAACTCACTTGGTAGCCCAGGCTGGCCTCGAACTCACAGAGATCCACCTGACTCTGCCTCCCGAGTGCTGGGATTAAAGGCGTGCGCCACCACCGCCCGGCCTCTTTTTTTCTTTTTTTTCCCTTGTAGCCCTCTCTCTCTCTCCTCTCTCTCCTCTCTCTCTCTCTCTCTCTCTCTCTCTCTCTCTCTCTCTCTCTCTCTCTCTCTCTCTCTCTCGGGGCTGCAATTGCATCTTACAACAGGAGCTCCTGGTACTTCCCTCAGGCTATCTTCTTCATTCATACGTCCCCTCCTGAAAGATGCTTTATTATCTGAAGCAGCTCCCTTCCCCAGGGCACCCTCTATCACATTATTCAAGGTCCCCTTGCCCCAAGCACTCGCCCATGGAAAATGCGGCGTGTTTTTTTGTTTAGTTGCTTACAGCCCTCGTCGTCTCGTCTCCTAGTGGGGCACCCAGATATGAGCTCTATGAGAACACAGCTGGTCCGTCTTGTCATTCCCCGGCATCATCCGCTCATCATTTATGGAGTACCTGCAGTTTAAGTGAATGAGAGTCCCCACCCTTCCCAACCCATCAGTAACCCTCAAAGGGCTGTGCCAGCACCGAGGCCTCAGCAAACGTCTGCTGGACTCTGATTGATTTCAATTCATGAGCCAACCGGACCGCCTCTAAGCCGTTTGCCTTTATGAGCATGGCTATGAAACAGGTTTAAAACAAAAAGAAGGCAAAAACGACTTTACAGGGCTGTCGGAGATGACCGTGGTCTATATTCTCATAGGCACTGCTACCACATTCCATTGCCCTTCTGGAATGTTCTTTGCAAGTGCTTGTTTGTTTGTTTGTTTGTTTGTTTTTACTGAAGGCTGGAATGCTCCCTTAAACAACTAGTTTGATTTTATTTTAGCTCAGCATGGCCCCCAGGCATGTTATCATACCAGACAGGCCTTTGTTTCCCAGTCTCTTGGTATGCCGGAGACCCCTTGCTTAGAGGTTGGCAAAACTGATCATGAGCCCAGACTCCCAAAGGCAGACTCCCCACTCCCCGGTTACTCTTATCTAGAAACAAAGGTGAGAGAAACATGAATAAATAAAGGATTTATCTCAGTTAAAAAAAAAAAAAAAAAAAGAAGCAGGGGCTGGAGAGATGGCTCATAGGTTAAGATCGCCGGCTGCTCTTCCAGAGGACCGGGGTTCAATTCCCAGCACCCACATGGCAGCCCACAGCTGTCTGTAACTCCAGTTCCAGGGGATCTGACACCCTCACACCAGTGCACATAAAATAAAAAAGTTAAAAAAAAAAAGAAGAAGAAATAGAAAGGGCATGGTGGTGCACACCTTTGATCCCAGTACTCAGGATGCAGAGGCAGGCAGAGCTCTGTGAGTTCAAGGCCAGCCTGGTCTACAGTGCGAGTTCCAGGGCAGCCAAGGCTACATAGTGAGAACCTGCCTTTTCAAAAAAAGAGAAAATTGGGGCTCAGTTTGTTGTATGCACAGCGCTGTCCTCACTCCTTGTTTGCAAGGCTTTAATAAGAAAGGTTACCCGGCCTTCCAGCAAGGCTCCTAGCCACGTACTTAATCACTTGAGGACATCGGAAAAGGGAAAGGAGAGAGTGGGATGCAGAAAGATGAAGTGGGATCCAAGACTGTCTGAGGCATCAATAAAGGAGGACATTAGCTAATAAAAGGCAGGTTAGTTTAAAAAGCTATTCAGATTAAAAAAAAAAAAAAAAAAAAAAAAAAAGGCCAGGAGGTGACATGCAAAAGAGGCCCGACCAGTTCTCAGCCCTCTGCAGGCCTCCTGTGAAGTGGTGGAGGCCACATGAGGCAGTCTGCTCCATATTTGGACAGCTCTAACCATTAAAGCAGCTCCATTCTGGGCAGAATCCACCTTCTCTTAGCTACATCCGTTCTTATTTAGCTCTCTGAAAACACCCTGAACAAGCTTAATCCCTCGAGTAGGTGATCCCTTTGAGTATGGCAAGATCTTTATTGAATTCATGTCTCCTTTTCTAACTATAAAGAGCAGCGGGGCATCGATGCTGTTTTCCTATAGCCCGGGTCTCAGCCCCTCAGCACCTCTGGACACGCCCAATACTGAGCACACAACTCTGAGCATGACCCACCTCTGTCTGAAGCCTTCCAGTCACACACTGTAGTGTTAGCAGCTAGCTCAAACCAAGTCCTTTACATGCAGACCATAGTACTGTTAAATCTATTTATGGTATACTTAGCTTGTTGATTTTTGTGCATCCCAGGCACGGAGCCTGCCTATAAATGAATGCTTTTGTACTTATTATGATCTTTTTGAGTTTTCACTGCCAAGCCTTTTTTTTTAAGATTTTATTTATTTATTATTATACAGTGTTCTGCCTGCATGTTAGAAGAAAGCACCAGATTTCATTATGAATGGTTGTGAGCCACCATGTGGTTGCTGAGACTTGAACTCAGGACCTCAGGAAGAGCAGCCAGTGCTCTTAACCTCTGAGCCATCTCTCCAGCCCTCCAAGCCTTTTTTAAAAGTTTTTTTTTTTTTTAATGTGAATGAGTGCTCTGCTTGCATGTATGCCTATGCACCACTATGTGCCTGCCAGGTACCCTTGGAGGCCAGAAGAAGGCATCAGATTCCTTGGGACTGGAGTCACAGATGATTGTGAGCCACCAAGTAGATGCTGAGAATAGAACCCGGGTCCTCTGGAAGAGCAGCCGAGTGCTCTTAACCACTGAGACATTTCTCCAGCCCCCAGATTTATTTTATTTTAACTGTGTGTTTGTGCGTATATCTGTGTGTGGGGTATGTGCACATGAGTGCAGGTGCCTGAGGGGGCCAGAAGAAGGCATCAGATCCCCTGGAACTGGAGTTATAGCTCGTGAGCAATCCAATATGGGTGCTGGGAAAAGAACTCCAGTCCTCTGCAAGAGCATTATGTGTTCTCTCTCTCTCAAAAAAAAATTTCAACTTAAGCTTACTTTGGCAGCACATATACTAAAATTGGAACAATACAGAGAAGATTAGCATGGGCTGTGTGAGAGGATGATATGCAAATTTGTGAAGCGTTCCATATTTTTATGGTAGTTTTTGCTTCATCTTATTATATTTTGTTTGGTCATGTTTGGTGGTTCTCTCTTAAAAACCTGTTCTTTTCTAATGAGAGACACAAAGGGAGTGGATGTGGAGGGCAGGGGAGACGGGAAGGAACTGGAAGGAGGAGAGGGAGGTGAAACCATAATCAGGCTATATTATATGAGAAAAGAATCTGTTTTCAGTAACAGGGAAAAAATGAAAAAAATGTAAATGTATTTGTATGTATGAGTGTCTCCCCCTCATATTATGTGCCCTATATTCCTGCCTTGTGCCCTTGGAGGCCAAAAGAAGGCATCGGACGTTCTGCCACTGGAATTACAGATGGTTACACCATGTGGGTGCTGGGAACTGAATCCAGGTCCTCTGCAACAATAAGTGCTCTCTACCACTGAGCTCTCTCTCCAGCCCCGCCCCCAACCCGTTTTAGTGATCCATCCCAGATTTGATTTACACACAGTTTAACAGGCAGGATGTCTATGTCACTAGCCAACAGGCCTTTTAGTGACTCATCCCAGGTTAAAAATAACTAATTGGCTGCATGTGATTCTTCAATTGTTAGAAATCTTTTTTTTTAATTGATTTACTTATTTTATGCATATGAGTGCTCTCTCTGTGTGTATGCCTTTATGCCAGAAGAGAGCCTCAGATCCTGCTACAGATGGTAGTGAGCCACCACGTGGGTGCTGGGAATTGAACTCAGAACCTCTGGAAGAGCAGCCAGTGCTCTTAACTGTCTAGCCATCTCTCCAGCATTTTATAAATCTTTTGACCAGAGGTTCCAAAGTCAAAAAGGAAAGATCCTGAAGGGTGTTCCTGCCTATTTATCCTAGCCCTGACAGTTTGACATACAGTGTTGGAACGTCACCCTTCCTCTGGTTGATATAGTCAGCTGACTTGAAGGTCATGTACCTCGAGAAATACCTATTTAAGCAACAGGACCAGACTTGGCATCACGAAATGCTTACACTGAGAGGCCAGAAGGAGCCAAGACCTCTGACAGGATCCCATCTGCCACCTCTTGCTTGCTCTGGGCGTGTGCTTGCTGAGTGATGATGGCTGAAAAGGCCACACTATTGAAATGCGGGCTGTAAATTCAAGATCCTTCTGCCCCAGGCTCCTGAATGCTAGGATTATAGGTGTGCCCCGTGGACTCTTGGCTGTCCATAAGAATTGAATGGGAAACCAGGCGGTGGTGGCGCACGCCTTTAATCCCAGCACTCAGGAGGCAGAGGCAGGTGGATCTCTGTGAGTTCGAGGCCAGCCTGGTCTACAGAGTGAGTTCCAGGACAGGCTCCAAAGCTACACAGAGAAACCCTGTCTCAGAAAAAAAAAAAAAAGAATTGAATGGGAGAGCTATGTTCTGGAGTCCTTGCCCACAACCCCAAATCGCCATTCTGCCAGTCTTTGTGGGAAGACAAATTCACTCGAGCATAACTCGTGTCTCTGAACACACAAACACACCAGCACTTTGCGATCATCACTGTTTCTACATGCCACAAGAGTAACATCTGAGCCGGGCAGTGGTGGCGCACGCCTTTGATCCCAGCACTCGGGAGGCAGAGCCAGGCGGATCTCTGTGAGTTCGGGGCAGCCTGGTCTACAAAGTGAGTTCCAGGAAAGGCGCAAAACTACACAGCGAAACCCTGTCTCGAAAAACCAAAAAAAAAAAAAAAAAGAGTAACATCTGAGAAATCTGAACGACTTCACAGGGCGTCTTTTCTAGAATCTTCCTCCCCCTGCCTGTGGCTGGCTTCCTCGCAAGGCTGACTGCAAAACTCCGACTCTTAGCTGGTGCTGAAGAAGGAGGAACTTCCTGGGAGCCAGCTCCAGACTAACAATGGCTGATCAGCTATGAGTCACCTCCACCTCCCAACTGTCCCAGGTGGTGGCAGATGCGGTTCCCAGCCACTCCAGCCAGTAACTCACCAGTTGAGCAAGCTGATTTCATTGATTTATCTCCTTCCTTCTGAGACAGGGTCTCCTTATGTAGCCCTGGCTGTCCTGGAACTCGCGGAGATCTGCCTGCACAGCACTAGATGTTGCAGCTTGGCCCTATCGGAGCCCTTCCTCACATCACCGCGGTCACTCGGCTTCCCTTCTATCCTTTTCAACCTCCTCCTGTGCCCCTCTCCGCATCACTCTGAATCTTGGGGGTACCAAGGCCCAGGACTTGCCATTCTTCCCCTATCTCCATTCTCTCCCATTCTTTAACCCCACCCACATACGCACGGCACACACATTCCCACTTGCCGACTCACCGAACTCAGCGGCCAGCCTACATCTCCTCTGCCTATCCAAGCCGTGGGTTCCCGTGTGACAGTAACCAGAGAAGGGTCAGTGAATGGTCACATCCTTTTGAGAAGGGAGCCATAAATAATACAGCATACCCAGGACCGAGAAGTTCAGGCTCAGGGTGGAAGGAATGGGCAAACTCACCCGCGAGTAATAACATGGCGAATCACTCACAGTCATCTCTCTCCTTACAACAAATTATAAGCCCCAGGAGATCGGGGACCCTCAAGAAAGAACAAGTAACCAGATAAACGTGTGATAATCACTTGCTCTGAGACCCTTTAGCCCTCCCCCTTGGTGTCCCCAGCATCTAGCATAGTGCCCAGGGTGCTGCTGGTGCCAGCACATATCAAACCAATTAATTAACCAAATGTTGTTGCTGGGGGCGGGGGCACATGGGTGGGGAGAGACCAAAATGTTACCATCTTCAGGAAGAAAGAAAAAAGGAAAGACAGACAGACAGACAGACAGCCATATAGCAGTGCTAAGCAGAGCATTGTGGGATGGTTTTCAAAGCTGTGGCTCCCTGAAAGAGGAATGCACTTTATTTTTATTTTTTATTTTATTTTATTTTTTCCGGAGCTGAGGACTGAACCCAGGACCTTGAAGCGCTCTACCACTGAGCTAAATCCCCAACCCCAAGGGATACACTTTAAATATAGAGCCACAGCTTTGAAAACCATCCCACGATGCTCTGCTTAGCACTGCTATATGGCTGTCTGTCTGTCTGTCTCTCCTTTTTTCTTTCTTCCTGAAGATGGTAACACTTTGGTCTCTCCCCACTCATGTGCCCCCCCCAGCAACAACATTTGGTTAATTAATTGGTCTGATATGTGCTGGTACCAGCAGCACCCTGGGCACTATGCTAGATGCTGGGGACACTAATGGGGAGGGCTAAAGGGTCTCAGCCCTCCCACTCAGCGGCGTGCTCTTTTATTTTTTGTGGAAACATCTCTCTGCTCGTTTCTTCCCCAACCAGCTCCCCCAAGGTGTTTAAACCTTAAACGGTGACATTCCTAATCACAGGGAAGACTCACTGGGTCTCCTAGCCCAACCAAAAACTGAGTGATGGAACACATTCTCACTAGTCCATGAGACTCTCCGAGGCAAGCTCGAGGCTCAGGGCCCGGCGAATGCCAAGGCCCTGCTCCCCAGTAGGGGTAGCAGCAGTGGACAGGTAGAGTTTCAGGCTGGCAGGAATCCAAGGACAGACAGAGCAAGCCGCAGATAGGGTTGCCGTGGACAAATTCCTAGAACAGGATCGCTCGGTCCCTTGATGTCCCACAATAGCAGAAAGGGTGATTGGCAGCTGGTGAGCAAGGTGAGCACGTCTATTGTGATCCCGCTCTAGCCACCTGATAGCTCTCCCCAGATTCCCCGGGGCCTGGCCGCCCGCTGGAGTCACCTTGCGGTTCCTCATTTTGGCGAGGGGGAAGGAGGGGAACACTGTGTATCCTGAGAGAAGTGTGTCTGACATGCCTGATCCGTTCCATCTGGGAGCGTCATGAGTCCCATCTGGCTCCAGCAGTCTGAGCTGAGGAGCAGAGGATCCCAGCAAACCGCCAGCAGCTCCAACCCTCTCCAGCCCGCTCCTCCTTCGTCTTCCTGGAGAGGAAGACCCCTGCAAACTTCTCCTCACCCAGGCCCTGCCGTCTTTCCTGCAATACCCTTCACCCATGGGTCTGGGTGTCCACCTTGGGGTCGGAGGTCCACTGAAGATCCTCTGCAGAGGGCAGGCCTCTTGGGAAAGTACAGGGTAATTTGCAGTTCTGATTTATGGTTCTGGGGAGCCAACTCGGAGCATAGCGGGTGCTTCACCAACCGAGCTGCCTTGTAGCTCCAAAAGCCCACTTCCTGTCCCTGACCTTCTTACATCACGCAGAGCAGGGCCTGGTTTGTAGGCAGAGCTCCCCGCAGAAGGTCCTCTCCAGTGCCTCACTTGCTAGAGTCCAGAGATACACAACTGTTCCCTTCTCTTGACGGCTCTTCACCTCAGGTGGTGGCAGACCCTCTCATCCCAATGACCCCACCACCACCACCACCACCACCACCACCAAGGCTTCTCAGGTGGGCTCAGTGAGCCCTGATAGGGGCTGGGCAGAGAGCCCCAGGAAGCTGAGGCTTGGCTGACATGTCTGCAAACATTGGAAGTTTCTCTCCCCGTGACTCATCAGAAGAGAGTGGAGTCCCTCCTTCTTCCTGGAAGGCAGCAAGCACAAGGCCAGCTCCAACCCCCCCCACACCCCAAAAAGTAAACAGCCCTCACTTAGAGCTTTCACTTCAAAACTCAGATATCACCCCCAAAGATCAGCCACGGCATCTTGAGAGAGGGGACTTTTTGAGGCCACAGAACAGCCCGGAAGAGGCTTCTCTGACCCAAGGAAAGGCAAGAAGAGGCTGGAGGTACAGCTGAGCATTCACAAGCGCATGCTGACGTGGGGAGTGTTTTCCAGAAAAATATCTGCCCCCTTATCTCTTCCCCAGCCCTATGTTATTTATATGTTTCTTTATTTTTTCCCCTTTTTGAGACAAGTTCTCATGTAGCCCAGGTTGGCCTTGAATTTGCTATGTAGTTGAGGATAACCCTTAACTTCTGGTCCCCTAGCTTCCATCTCCCCGGGGCTGGGATGACAAGCATGCACCACCTCAGGGTGGTGAGGGTGGTGGTGGTGGTGGTGGTGGTGGTGGTGGT